GGTCCTGGGGCAGGACATGCTTCTTCAGGAGGATGAGCCATGAGGCTGGAGCCGAGTGAACAAGAGAGAGTGCGTTAGGATCAGAGTCAGAACCACAGAAGCATCCAGCGGCCCGCAGGCTCAGGAAGGCCCTGCAGATTCCACCAGGAGAGGGGCCTGATCTATTTAAAGTGTAAATCATCTCTCTGGCAACATGAAGATAATTGACAGGAGGATTTCTACTGTGGAATCAAGGAGATACTGTTGTGTCTCACTGTCCCCAGCAGAACAGGCAGGATGAAAGCCCCCAGGGAGTGACGTACGCCCAGGTGAACCACTCAAGACCAAGACCTGGGCCGGGAATGGCCACCTCTCCTTCCTCCCCTTCTGGGGGTTTGCTGGACCAGAAGGGAAGACAAGCAAAAGCGGACAGTCAGGTGGGTCCTATCCTCCCCAGGCCCCTAGGACCTCCCCAACCCCTACCACGTTTCATCCTTCTCTCTCTCTCCCCCTGCTCCAGGCTGCTGCGTCTGATGCCCTCCCACATACAGCCTATGCCCTGCTGAAATGCTCGGCCCTCAGATAGAGGACAACACCCCCTTCCTCCCATCAGAGGAGCCCCCAGATGAGTCCAGTGTGTACGCTGCTCTACCCATCCACTAGCCCAGACCCCACAGTGCAGAGAGAGGGCCTGCCAGGACCCCTGAGGGCACTGGAGCGACCCCCATGGACACTCAGTGCCCTGGCCAGTCTGGAGATCTGACGTGGACCCCCAACTGCTCCTGGGATGCCCCTGGGAGTCACCTGATTCATCAATCACAGATGACTAATATCCCTACATTATGGAATCAAAGCAACAAACTTCTCAATAACCAACGTGTGAATTGATTATTGACAGGAAGTGAGCGAATGCTTTCAATGAATGATCATGTAAATATTATGCATCAAGCCTATGAAATAAAAAAATTAAGAGGCATGAGTGAATACATTAGAAAAGAAAAACCTAAAAGGTCAAGACCTAATTTATTACATCAAGAATTTAGAAAACGAATAGGCAATTATTCTAAATGAGGGTGGAACGAGGGATGCAATAATGAGTAGCTACTAGTGAGGACAGACAAAAATAGAGAAAAAACAGCAAAGTCAAAAAATTTTATTCTTGAAAACTGTAATCACACTGATACATCTTAGCCACCTTAGACAAGGAAAAAGGGGAAGAGGCACACATTCCCATGATGAGGACAGCATCACAGATCATATAGACTTTAAACAGATACCACACATGATAAACGATTTGATGCCAGGCCCTGCCCTGTTAGCTCAGTTGGTTAGAGCATCACCCCAATATGTCAAGCCCGCAGGTTCGATCCCTGGTCAGGGCACATGCAAGAATCAGCCAATGAATGCATAAATAAGTGGAACAACAAATAAATGTTTCTCTCTCTCTCCCTTTCTCTTTCTCTCTAATTAAGAAAATAAAATCTGATGCCAACGTATTAGCCACTGGTGTGGCTTAGTGGTTGAGCATGGATCTATGAACCAAGAAGTCATGGTTTGATTCCCAGTCAGGGCCCATGCCCGGGTTGTGGGCTCCGTCCCCAGTTTGGAGCATGCAGGAGGCAACTGATCATAGAGTCTCTCTCATCACGTTTCTATCTCTCTCTCCCGTCCCCCTTCTTCTCTGAAATCAATAAAAATATTTTTAAAAAAGTGGACATGTTCAAAAGTACAGTTTACTAAGTAGACATCAGAGTTAGTAGAAAATCGGTGTCACCTTATGTATATAGTAAATACACATGATAAACATTGCCCTGCACATGAGCGCTGTGGAATATGATAAAAACAAAGAGTAGAGCAGTCAGGGGAGGGAGGGAGACATGGGGAGAGATTGGTTAAAAGGTACAACCTTCCAGTTACAAGACTGGCAAATCCCGGTACTCTAATGCACAGCATGGTGTTATAGCTAAAACCCCGGTTATCTTATTCTTGTGTGTTGCTGAGAGAGAGACGGCAACTCAGGGACAGGAGAGAGCTGGTAGCTAAAGCCAGGGTGGTCCTCCTCTTGCAATATCCTATATAATAAAGAGCTAATATGCTAATTAGACTGGATGGTGGAACGACCTTCAGAATGACCTTCTAGAATGACCTTCCAGAATGACCTGTGGGTTTTGAAGGCCTACCATTGCACGAATTTCATGCACCAGGCCTCTAGTATAAATATATCAGTTTAGGAGGCTTCAATGGTGATTTCTTACAAATGCTTATGCACTTATCCCCCCCCCCCCCCCACACACACACACATGCCAAACTTACACAGGCATTTCCAAAGAGCAGAAAAACACACCTGGAGGTTGAAGAATTCCCCTCACCCCAAAAACTGTTCTCCCTCATGGAGACCCAGCCTGACCTGGTGGGTTTAAGGAGGGAGACACTACTTCTCGCTCAGGGATTTGCCCCTGCTGACACATTCACCTTTGTCCCTTAAAATTAATGTGGCTCAGGACACAATGTTCACTATCAGTCGGTTCCATGGAGGTATTTATCCACTATCTTCTGGTATTGGCATTTCCTGTGAGGAAGTCTGGTCTCAGGGAGCTTGTCATATGGCGATTTGCATTTTTCTCTAGAAAGTAAGGTGACGACCCTTTTAGAAACAAAGGCTAGTCCTTCTTGATTTGCTTTTGAGTTGAAATTCACACAAAATTAACCATTTTAAATGTGTACAATTCGGTGTAAGATATACTTTAAAAAATTTATCTATTCTTCATTCCCCATAAAAGATCAAGGTAATGATTGCAGATCTCGGGGATTTCATTTTTAAGCATGCACACCTTATCACTTGTTTGGTCTTTTCTCATGTCTGTAAAATTTTCATTTATTTATCTCTCGAGCGGTTACTAGTCGTCATTCTCACTTCTTTCCTTCTGACATCAGGGATATGATGCTGACCCTTCTCATTGTACTCCTCAAGTACCTTACATCCCCACTCCACGTCCCCCTATGCTGTGTTCTGGGAATTTCCTCAGTATTATACTCCACTTTCATGATCATCTCTTCAGCTGTGTCTCTTTCCTGAGGGGTTGAATTGTTTTAATGTGCTCCTTCTATTGGATTTTTCATTTCTCAAAGTTCTAACTCATTAGGTCCTTTTAGAAAAGAATCCATATTCTTCTGTGTCAAAAATTGACTCCACCTTTTATGTTCCAGATATTGAAGCATGATTAATCTCAAATTACTCTCATATTTTCCTACTGACTCTACTCTATTGCACATGACAGTCCCCATCATCAGTAGATTGCTGTCTGTAGCACTGTTTATCATTATCAGGATGACTCTACTGTGCATTCTTATTGGAAGACTTGCCCCTCACACACCTGACCTTCCATAGGTTGTTACCAGGACTGTCCTAGGAGTCAGGTTGTTGAGGGAGGGGCTTTGGCAGCTGCCCCTGCCGCATGGTGACCACTCTCTCAGACTCAGCATCTGCCCAGGGTTCTGCTCCTCAGGGCCAGTCCAATGGGAGCTTCACAGGCACACATGGGACAGACCCCCGTGGCTGACAATGCTGGACTTGGTCTTTTTCAGGCCACACGGGAGGATGCTCACTGCTGAGCATGGGTTCACTGCAGTGGACAGAGATGTCCCAATTCATGTACAGAAACACGGGCAGGGTGACAGAGCTTCCAACCTTCACCTGGACCCTGACCTCTCCCTTCCTGTGAGGACCTGGGGCCCCTTTCTGTGTCCACACAGGATAGAATCTCTTCTCTGATGACCTGCTGATGGTTTCAGACACTGGTGACCAACTCAGCTTTTGTCACGGATTTTCCCCATAGTTCCCTCTCCTTTTGGGCAACTTTCATTTCCCCTTTTTCTGCATTTGTCTGTTCCTAAAATTATAGAACTATTGTAAGAAGCTTTATTTGGTCTTCAGAGCAGACAAGGGCTCAAGTGGGTGTAACAATCCTGCACTTGACTGTGGATGCCTCGATCCCCTCATCGCCCACCCACTCAGGTCTTCATCTGGTCTGAAGTCGATGTCTCCCTTCCATGGGCCCAGCCCCACTGACCCACAACCACTCTGAGGATCCAAATGGGCAAACTGAGGCTTAGAGATAGGACATCACCACTCAAGGTTACACGGGTGATGAGCATTTAAATAAAAGTCATTTTTAAGGCAAAATCAGCACTCTAACCTCAATGAATGACCCCTAAAGCTAGAAGTCAGGACCAGAGAATGAGGAAGAGACTTCAACCCAGAAACAAGGGGCACTGAGGAGGCAGGAATGACTCATAGGCCTGTTGCCAGGAAGGTGGGGTGGATGCTGTCACAAAAAAAAAAGTTTGAGGGCGGCTATGGTAGAAAGAAAGCCACACTCTGGGGTAAGGAGAAGAGACCTGTTTCCTTCCCTTATTTCCCTTCGTCCCCCCTCTGTGCTCATTGTCACAGGACATTGCCTTGAGCTGCACAGTTGGAGGCTGAGCCTGTCCCTGCTGATCTGAACTCTGCAGGCCACAGGGACCCACATCTTTCTGAAGCGTCTCCAGGGCCCGGGCGACACTGTCCATGGTGAGGACCACAGGGAGGTGCTGATGGATGGGCTGAGGAGGAAGGAGACCCCGTGGGGGAGGCTGTGACAGGGAAGGACGTGCCCTGGGTCACCTCACCTGCAAGGGGCGTCTCAGGAGGGAGACTCCAGGTCTAATACCTGATTCACCATGAAAATGAGAGCCAGGCTGCTAGAGAGACTATGCCCTCATCTCTGGGCTGCTGACATGACAACCATGAGAGAGGGAGGGCCAACCTCCCTGTGCCCACACCTTCTATGTCTGTCCAGAGGGCATCATTGTCTCCATCTGAACACCCCTGAGGAGAGCAAGGAGACACCATGATCACCATCCTCAGGGCCCTGCTCTGCCTCGGTGAGATGGGAGGGGGAGGGGACTCTGGTCTCTCAATACCAGGACTCAGGAGGCTCATGGGGAGGAGGGTGCTGCTCAGGGTTCAGGGCAAATCTCTCACAGGGACTCTCTTCCAGGGCTGAGTGTGGGCCTCAGGACCCCAGTGCAGACAGGTGAGTCTGTCCCCAGATGTCCCAGGTCCCACTCCTCCCTGGGGACAAAGGGCCACCCCCTGGGAAGAAGGGTATGAAGAAGAGCAGTTCTGACCTGACAGAAGGGGGGCATCTGGGATGAAAGCTGGGGACTGAGGATAAGAATGTCCTGTGACCCTGATACTGGCTTCCTTCCAGGGCCCCTCCCCAAACCCACCCTCTGGGCTGAGCCAGGCCCTGTGATCCCTCGGGGGAAGCTCCTGACCATCAGGTGTCAGGGGACCCCAGAGGCTGAGAAGTACCGTCTGGAGAAAGAGGGAAGCCCAGCACCATGGATACTACAGAAGCCACAGGAGCCCGGGGACAAGGGGCCCTGCCCAGCCCTGTTGTGACCTCAGGAGGGAACATGACCCTCCAATGTGGCTCAAGGGAGGTGTATGACAGGTTCATTCTGACTAAGGAAGGAAAAGACAGGCTCTCCTGGACCCTGGACTCACAGCCACAGCCCAGTGGGCAGTGCTAGGCCCTGTTCCCTGTGGGTCCCGTGAGTCCCATTCACAGGTGGGGGTTCAGATGCTATGGCTGTTACAGGAACAGCCCCCATGTGTGGTCACACCCCAGTGATCCCCTGGAGGTCCTGGTCCCAGGTGAGTTGCATTATTGTCCCATCAATGGAATGAAGCAGGGAATACATTATTGGCATCTTTGCTGGGAGGGGAGCCCCATGAGAGAGGGAATCTGGGCAGCACAGGGCTCCTGGGCTAGGTACATAGAGAGAGACCTTGAAACTTGTGGACCAGCCCAGGAGAAAAAGGTTTATGGGAGGAGCAGCCCCTGTAATTCATGTCTGGTCTCACCAGGTGAGGCTGAGAAGCCCTCCCTCCTGAGCCAGCAGGGCCCCATCGTGGCCTCTGGACAGAAC